CAGCTGCGCTCGGGACCCTCGTGGTGCGACCTTGGTGGTTTGTGCTTCAGGGGTGTTGCCCAGGCGCCGGGCTCAGGCAGTTCCTCTGCGGAAACTTTCTATGGCTACTGTTGTAGCTGCTTCTGGAAAAGTGGTCCTGGGAGTTCCGTGGGCAAATCTGAGCTCAAACACGCACACCTTGTCTCTGCGCAGGTCAGTTGGGTCGTCTTAGCCCCTTAGAGGCCTTTCAAGGTTTTCCGAATTAATCCACTGCCCACGCTGCTTGGAAAGTAAACACAGATGATTTCTTTTCTCTCTCTCTCTTTTTTTTTGCCCCTGACTGAGGGCATGTGGTTAATATATATGTTGGTGTTTTTCAAAGAAAATATTTTTAACTTTTTTTTTCTTTGCTATGGAATTTTCTTAACAGTTCAGAGGAATGATACCCAATGTACCCATCACCGACTTTCAGCATTATCAGTCTATGGGCAATCTTGTCTACATCTGTATCCCAGAGATTCCTCCTGCAATGTTTTGAAGCAAATGTGACCAGATTTGTATCTTTTCACTAGTTTTTTTTTTAGAACAGTTTTACATTTATAGAGTAATTTGAGAAGAGAGTACAGGAAGTTCACACATAATCCACTTCCAGTCCCCCTGCTATTAACGTTCTACTAGTATGATACATTTGTTACAGCTACAGAACCAATATTGATAGATTAAAGTCCATAATTTATTCACATTTGCTTAGTTTCTATTATCCCTTTCCTGAGCCAGGATCCCACCTAGGATGTTACATTAGTTGTCATATGTCTTAGGCTCTTCTTGGCTGTGGCAGTTTCTCATACATTCTTTGTTTTGATGACCTTGACAGCTTCCAGGAGTACTGGTCAGGTTTTTTGTAGAATGCCCAACTGTATAGGGTTTCAGGACATGCCTCTGGGTAACAAGCCATTCCCCAAGGTTTCGGGCCCCTCCTTTTGGCTCTCCCCTAGAGGAAAGTTACTGTTGCCAGCTAGACTTATTTTCAGCATCAACAGGGGAAGATGAGACCGTAAGGGGCTGGTTTATGCAAATCAAGCGGTTGGGCATGCTCAATAGAGGGCACAAAACATTCTTGCATATGCTTGGTGCTGTCTAAGCAATGAAAATGCTCCAGGAAGAGACCAATTGAGCATGTGCAAGACTTAATATTACATAAGTGGGAGCCACCCTTTTATTTGCATATTGGTTAGATAGAGAAACTGTAAAGCTTCTCAGCAGAATCCCAGTAGAAAGCGAGGTCCATTGCTCACTTTCTTGGAGGCAACCTGCACTTCCCTGGCTGAGGTGTGTATACTTTGTATCAAACTTACTTTAAGCAAGCAGCTCCTCATTCTCTTGAGCCAGCCCGCATTTTTTTTACTAAACTTTGAGTAGGTTTTTCTTGCTTTTGTGTTAGACTCGATGTCTGTACTGAACTTACTTTTGTGTTAAACTTGGTGTGGGTCCTGTTCAGTCTCCAGAGCTATGTTGCACTCTCTCTGTGGAACCTGTATTTCTTCTCTGTTATGTTAAACTTGTTCTCACTTCTGTGACACTGCCCTTGAATTCTTTCCTGTAGCGGAGGTCAAGAACCTGGTAAGAGGCCTGGGTGACTTGAGGCTGACTATCAGGCTGCCTGGACCTCTACATCCAACATCACCACTCCTGGAATTT